TCTGTGACTAACTTATTTTATTCTTAATAATAGTTATATAAGCTGTTTTCATGAATGTTTTTGCTGATAATTTTAAATTTGTTTCTCTTTCTCTCTTTCCCCCCTTTTTTTGAGTGTGTATGATTCTATGTATTTTAATTAAAAATGTGAGTTACTCATACATTTTTTATATGGAATTCATTTCAGTAGGACATTCTTAACCCTGTTTGTTAAACTGGGTTAAGAATAAACAAAGTAGATAAAAGCAGTAGGAAAAAAGGCATTATCAGGGAAAACAGAATAGTATTAAATATATTAAATAGTATTTTAGTAGATCATACTATGTAATGAATATTGAAGAATAAAATGACGTCTTCCACACACATGACAAACATTTATTTAAACTACGAAGACGTTGAACAGCAGAGTAGAAACATGATATTACACAGTGCTTAGCCCTTCTCGCTTACATGCAATACTCACCATTGACTTTGGCTAACTACCTATTAACTAAGTATAAGTGTTATGCAGCAGAGAACTCGCTTATCATGCGCATGCGCTAGGGAAATCAACGGCGGTTGCCAACATACCCCCTTTTGTCGTTGATTCTCCTATTCCTGAAAAGTAAAACAAAATACATATTAAACAGTATTCAGTCCTGTAATTGTACAACAGTTTTGATGTGTAACGGGAGTCAGGGGTTTGGTTAACACATCAGCTCCCATTTCACTGGTAGGTATGTACTTCACATTTAATTCACCGCATTCATACACTTCACGCACAAAATGATGGCGAATGTCTATGTGCTTTGTACGGAAGTGAAACACAGAGTTCTTCGTAATTTTCTGAGCTCCTTGATTGTCGCAGTATATTGTTGTTGGGTGTTCTATGTTGTAACCCAGCTCCTTCAAGAAACGACGTAGGTAGACGGTTTCTTTGGCGTCCTCAGACAGAGCCATATATTCCGCCTCTGTTGAAGATAGAGCTACACTGCATTGTTTTCGTGATTCCCAGGTTATGGCTGAACCGCTTAATATATATACAAAACCGGTGTAGGATTTTCTATCATCAACATTTGATGCCCAATCTGCATCCACAAAGGCGATGAGTGGTCTTCCTGTTTTCGTATAAATTAGTCCTTGATCTTGTGTTCACTTTAGATATCGAAGTATTCTTTTCGCAGCATGCCAATGTTCTTTTCCCGGATTGTTGTTAAATTGACTTGAGAAATTCACGGCGTATGTGATATCTGGCCTAGTAGCTACTGAAAGGTACATTAGTGATCCGATCAGATTTCTAAATGGAACATTTTTCATGTCAGCAATTTCGTTTTCGTTTTTAGGAATCATCTCTTTTGATAATTTTTTGCTGTTATCTATAGGTGAAGACACGGATTATTATACCGATTTAAAATATCATCAACGTATTTCTTTTGAGAAATTTTAATTGAATTCTCATTTTGGTGAAATTCTATGCAATAATGTAACTTCCCCAAGTCTTTCATTTTGAAAGCAGAAGCTAAACTATTGCAAATTGTTTCATACGTTTGCTTAGAATCGGTAAAAACAATAAGATCATCTACATAAACGATTATAATAGTTTCACTGTTAGGCGTCTTTTTAATATAAACACAATTATCTGAATTAAGAGATTTAAATTTCATAGATTTCAATTTTTCATCCAACTTTTTGTACCACTGACGTCCTGACTGTTTAAGACCGTATAATGATCTCTTTAAAAGACACACCTTATCTGAATTAGTTTTATCGCGTCGCGAAAACCTTCGGGAATGTCCATGTAGATTTCTTCATCTAAATTTCCATTTTCATAGGCCATTACAAAATCTAATTGGTAACCTTTGAGATTGTGTTCTACTGCGTAGGCTAAAACTGTTCTTATGGAACTTAATCTAGCAACAGGGGAAAAGTTTTCAGTGAAATCGAGACCAGGGATTTGAGCGCACCCTTTAGCAACTAGCCTAGCTTTGTATTTTTCGATAGTGCCGTCGTGATTATATTTTAATTTAAGAACCCATTTGCTACCAATAACTTTCTTGTTTTCAGGTCTGTTTACTAATTCCCAAGCCTTTTCTTGAACAAGCGAGTTATATTCTAACAGCATGGCATTATGCCAATTTTCAGCATATGGTCCATTTAATGCTTCTTGCACCGTAGGATTAATGCTTTCCTCAACAACATTTTGAGTTTGTTCATTTTTATTTACAACTGTATAGTGATATTCCTTTTCAGGCCTTCCTGGCAAACCTGTTTTTAGTTTCTTGGGTCGACCAGGCCCCTTTTAATCAGGATAGGAAGCATTGATTCGCTATCTAAATCACTTCCACTTTCTTTTTCAGCTTCAGAGCCAAGTGGCGACTCGCTGCCGTCCAGAGGTGATGATTTTTCACAACATGTTTTATTTATAATTTTTTCCTCCGGAGTGAAAGGCAGATTTATTTCTTGCTCTGAGTCATAACTACAGCAGTTTTCAAACTCATTAATAAATTTTATATCTCTGCTTATTATCACTTTACGTGCCTCGGGATCCCAAAGTCTATACGCTTTTGATTCATCAGAATAGCCAATAAAAATACATTCTTTAGATCGAATATCAAATTTGCCTATTCCTAGCCTTTTATTTAGCGAAAATGCTTTTTGGCCAAAGGTTCTGAAGTGAGAGATAGCAGGTACTCTGCCAAACATCACTTCGTAAGGTGTTTTTATTTCGTTTTTGAAACCTCGCGTTGAACAGCGATTTCGAATGTAAGCAGCCGTATTGACGGCTTCGGCCCAGAATTTCTAAGGCAGATTAGATTGCAATAACAAACATCGCGCCATTGAAACTAAAGTGCGATTTAATCTTTCGGCGACGCCATTCTGGGCTGGTGTGTAAGGAGTGCTCATTTTGTGTTTTATTCCCGCATTATTAAGAAATTTATTAAAGTCTTTCCCTAAATATTCTAGCCCGTTATCGGTTTGCAGGATTCTGATTTTAGAGTTAAGTTTATTTTCAAAAGATGCTTTAAAATTTCTGAAAGCTTCTTTAACCTCATCCTTAGATTTCAGAAAATAAACACGAACATATCGAGATTTATCATCGATAAATGTTGCAAAATAAAATGATCCACCGATTGATTCAGTTCTCATGGGACCACATAAATCAGAATGAATTAGATTCAACAATTCAGTACTTCTATATTCAGATTCTTTGGGAAGAGGGGTTGCGGTTTGTTTACCCTGAATGCATACCTTACAAGTAGAAAGAGAGTCATTTTGAGAAAAAGAAAGACCTCTAACCATGTTATTTATTTGAAGTTTTTAAGATCATTTTCATTTAAATGGCCAAATCTTATATGCCACTGATCTATTTCTTTAGCAATTGATACAGATTCAAATATTGGCATGACAAAATAAAGATCATTTTCGCGTTTAGCTAAAATTACTGTTTCGTTATTAGAATTAATTATTTGAGCACATTTTTCTTTGAAAATTACTGAAAGATTATTTTCAGTTACTTTAGACACTGAGATTAAATTATTTTTCAAATCAGGTACACACAATACATTTTTGAGTGTGATATTTTCAGTTTTAGAACCTGTAAACGTTAAATTTAACAGTTCCTTTTCCAATAGCTTTAACAGTTTTATCAGCAGCTAATTTAACATAAGTGTCACCTACCTCGTGAATTTCTTGAAACATTTCCTTGCTGTTACACATATGCGATGTTGCACCACTATCCAGACAAAAAAGTCTTTAGAATTACTATTAGTGCATGCTACGGCTTTTTCTCGCTCCAAGGAATTCCGTATTTTTGCAGACATCGCAGTTTCACTAAGGTATTTGCTTTTAGTTTCTTTACTTTTCTTCCTACATTCCGATGCTCTATGCCCATAGATATGGGAGAAGTTGCATCTGTAGTTTACTGGATACTGTCTTCGGTTTGCAGACTTATCTGCTTTCGGTTTAGGAACCGGTCGTTGAGTATACTTCCGATCTTTCGAATAGAATGCATGTTGTTGTTCAGAAAACGATGAATCTTTATTTTTACGAGCGGTAGCTTCTTCCAACAGTTTAATTTTCAGCATTTCTGGAGAAGGCAGTTCATCACGAGATTCGATTGCTATTCAAAAGCTTTCATAAGAGTCCGGTATGCTATATAAAAGCAATATTGTAAGCAAATCATCCGGAATATTTATTTCCATTTCTTTAAGTTTGTCTACAAGAATGAAAAAATCATTTAGATGATCAGTCATTTGTTTTGAATCACTTATTTTTGTAAAAAGCAATTTTTTTAGAATTGTAGCCTTTCTAGCTGGTCCCTTTGATTCGTAAATAGAATGCAATTTACGCCATAGTTAGTGAGATGTTACACAATTCTTTACTTGTGGAAGTTCACTGGGTGAGATGGATAGGATTATATCTGCTCGTGCTTTTTGTTCAGTAGTTTTCCATTTAGCAAATTCTTCATCACCAGGTTCTGGTTTCGGAATTTTCCCAGTTACATAGTCCTAATGATCATTTTTAATCAGTATTGCTTCCATTTGCAACTTCCACGTATCAAAGTTGTCCTTGTTTAGCTTTTCACTTGACACTGTATTAGTCGTCGCCATTTTCATTTCAGTCGACACAGCTTGGCTTGCCGAAAGAATTTAACAATGGTAGTTGCAATGCACAGTTAAGCGCTATCTGGGCCCATAACCTATGAAGAATAAAATGACGTCTTCCATACACGACAAACATTTATTTAACTACGAAGACGTTGAACAGCAGAGTAGAAACATGATATTACACAGCGCTTAGCCCTTCTCGCTTACATGCAATACTCACCATTGACTTTGGCTAACTACCTATTAACTAAGTATAAGTGTTACGCAGCAGAGAACTCGCTTATCATGCGCATGCGCTAGGGAAATCAACGGCGGTTGCCAACAAATATACATAAACATACTTTTTATTTATTTTCAGTCAAAGTGTCAACTTTCTTTCTAAAAAAATTTCTGTTGTTTACTATGAATTTAAAAGGTGGAGTTATTCCGGATGCTGCAACAATTTATGCCATGAAGAAGCATCGTCAAATGGCAAGGGAAATGGGAGATTTCATACCTGTTGAAGATCCAGAAAAAGAAGATGATACAAAGTCTCGATTAATAAGGTTTAGTGTCTTTTTTTCCCTTCTCCCTTTTTATGATGCATACAATTTAGGTTTAGAAAAATTTTTCTGTTTTTAAAAATTTTGACTATATGCAGGTGTATTAAATTGATATTTATATTCTCCATTTTTTAAACTATATACAGTCAAAAGTCTTTAATCCAAACTCCTCGGGACTTTGGCGATTCCGGATTATCGTTTTTTATGGATTATAAATCATCAGTTTAAATCTGGTAAGATGGCAAGCAGAAATTATAAAATTAAAAATATGAAACCGTAATTTATGAAATAAAGAACAATTATGATCTAAAAAGTATCAAAATTTACAAAAAAAAAAAAAAAAAAATCTTAATATTTATTTGTTTACTTTATTAAACATTTCTTTCAATATGCGCGTGCGTAAAGCATACATTATGCAAAGTCGAAATTAGAAAATTGTAACCAGAAAACTATTTGATGTGTATTCGTGATATTTATAATGACGAGGAATTTGATTTAAATCATATCAAAGACGGAGTACATCGAGATGAAATACTACATTTAGTAAGGCATTATAAGCCTAATAAAATAAAAACATCTGCCCTGAAGATGAGGATAGTGCTGACAAATCAACTTCCAGTTCATTGCACGACGCATCGTTTCCCCCCCCCCCCCGGCAGAGCAGCGTGAAATTGATAAACAGATTTCGGAATGGTTAGAGAAACAAATCACCTCTCTGTCACTTTATTCATGCCTTTATCCATTTTTTGCAGCAGTTTCACTTTTAGTTTAATGGACATTGACACATGCTTTCGCTTTGTAGATCCTTTGGCAGCTCCAGAATTGGAAACTCTTTTTGACATAATCGAAAGTTCAAGCTTACTTTTTATAAAATTGCTCTAACAGTCTGCAAAAAATAAGCCGGATCCAATTCGAAGATTAAGGAACAACGCAATCTGCAACATTAACTGAAATAGATAATTAGATAATTTTAACTTAGCTTATACTGACCATTATACATTAAACGCGCATGCGTAAACGCATTAAGTCTTTAATCCGGACGTTCATAATCCGGAAGGATCTATAATCTGGACCTCAAAGCTACAAACTTTCTGCGCATGCGTAAACGCATAATGCATCTGGATTATAGATCATTCCGGAGTATGGACGTTTGGATTAAAGCATTTTAACTGTATAACTATTAAAAGAGTGTGTTGAGAGGCTGTAGACATAAATTTGAAACAACACATATATAGATGTAAAGATGCATATTTAGATGAAATGATATAGATAAGTTGATAGCATGAACATTCAAGACGTTGCTCCATAATAAACAGCAAACTTGGCAGTTGAGACAGATTAAATATTCATTTTTATTTAAATTTATATTTGTGGCCACAAATTGCTTGGCGCTCTTATGATGCCCGATTCAACATATTTACTATTGTGAAATAGTAAATATGTTGAATCAGGCATTATATGATACTATTGTGGTAAGAAGAAAGCAGCACACCAGCCTTCTAGTGACAACAAGAACAGAAGCAAAATGCATAGTTTTCTGTTCTGGAAGCTTATTAGTAGAAAGGTTTCAGTTCTCAAAATTTTGAGTTTCAAATTAGCTATGTCGTCATCATTATGTAAAAGTCATATGATGGATTAATATAGAGATGAAGCAGTCCAGAGTCCAGGAAAAGTTACTACTATTTTTGAAATAGAGAGGAGAAGTACTCACATTAAAATGAAAAATTAAAGGGCTGTTGCTAATTTAAGCTATAATTTTGATTTACATATATTTTTTATTTTACACATACTCTTTTTTAGTGTGATATTTTATGGGAAACAGTACTAAATAAAAATTGCACATTAATCTTTATTCAATAGCCCTATCTAATCCCCTTAAACTTTATGCAATAGCTAAATCTTGGTACAATTTAAAATAATGAATAATATTGTTAACATTACTTTAATGTTACATTTTATTAGAATTTTGTATAATTTTTTGAAATTTAGGGCGTTTTTTACAAGTGCTTTATTTTGCTACTGAATTTTCGTTATTCATATGATTGTTGAATAGCATCATACCTAGTTAAACCCTCTGATCACTATGGAGTTTTGCTAAAAAAGTAGGCAAAATTTCCAAGAGCTATTTTAAGAAATATATTTTCTTAATATTGATGCCAAAATATCTTCGATATATTTCAAGATGCATATATATATATATATACTATCTCAAAGATTCCACAAAAACATTCTAGACCATTTATTATTAGAAAAGGTTTTTTATATATTGTCTCCAAATAACATAAATTTAATCAATGAGATGAATTATTCAAATAAATTTGAGTCGGTATTTTAAGTATAAGTTATTTAGATTTCTAGTGTAGTAAATTTTTTTTAAAAGTTGTATTTTATATACATATATACAAAGAAAATGTGATAGCTGCTTTAAAAATAATTGACGACCTCAAAATTAACAATTATAGATTTGGTGCTCTTCCCCTAAATTCATCTGCTCTCCCAAATTTGAGATCCTTCTGTATTACGTAACAACCTAAGATTAACCAATAATAGCTGTCTCTGCAATTACATCAGACTTAGTATAAATACTCTTGGTACAAAAAACTACATCATTCTTCTCTTAGCTTCTTCTAGCCATGTCAACATTCATGCTGCTTTGTTTCCTCTTCTAAACGTGCCTGCACCTTATTTTTAGAAACCAATCTACATAGCAGTTTATCCTATTTAATTATGATTGAATAAGCGTCTGCTAAACTAATTGGATATGTGTGAAAATAAAGATTGGTGATTTATCAAAATCTGATTCGTTATCTTCATCTGTATGCAGCGCCGGATTTAGACTTAAGGCCCTAAGTTATATGATATATGGGCCTTTATAAGTCCAGATATTATATGTCAGTGCCAAATATGATTTTCAGATACCTAGAGGATTAAACTAAAATACAATTAAGAAGTATATAGATAGTGAAATAATAACTTAAAATCATTTATATTCATTACAAACTTAAAAATGCGAACTCTGGTAAAACGAAACAAAAGTCACAATTTACAAAGGCTTATTATCTAATATCTTGAAGCATATTATATGAATTTAGGAATTATATTAAACTAAAATATTTTATTTCTTGCCTTTCTCAGAGCAAAGTCACTGATGACATCATCAAATGATAAACTGTGAGGGAGCATAATTTATCTTGAGTCGCGGTTCTAAATTTAGTTTTTATCCTCTTCAGCTGAGAAAATCTTTCTTCAGAGCAATTTGCAACCATCATACTAAACAATCTCAAAATGGCTTCTACATTTAAGAATGCTGTTTGGACACGATTGTTAAATATCGCCCTATACAGATCCTGATGTGTCAGACTGTCATGTTCCACTGAGCAGGCTTAACTATGTCTAACATACTAATGAAAATGCTTGACTTCTCCTACAAGATTCATGTCCACATCTTCAGAATATGTTTGGCATAAAGCACTAATTTCTTCACTAATCTCTTCTTCTGTAGCTTCTAATTTTGTTAAGGATGAAAACTTTTTTCCAGTGACCTTGTATACTGAGGCCCTCTGTGCCAGACTTAACTCTAATGCATGCATCACAGGTATAAATGTTTTGATTCTGAACTTGTCTCTTGACTCAATGTGCTCTAAAGCATCACCATCATTAATATGCCTTCTTCTATTCTGCTTTTCTTGTAATTAAATCAGGCAATTTTTCCTTTGCTTTTTCTTCAAAATGATCGAACATAACCCTGGAACCTTTAAACAGTATCCAAAAGTGAAGCATACAATTTACTACATGCATCTGGACTAAAGTGACCACACGTCCCGATTTAAGAGGGACAGTCCCGCTTTTTAGAGGATTGTTCTACGTCCCGCTTTTTAGAAAACATCTGCATTTCTTATTTTAAATGTACTGTAAAAATATATTACCTATTATTTATTAATTATTATGGTGAATATAAAGAAATAAAAAAACACATAAAATGCATGCAGAGTAAACTAAATTAGGTGATGTAATGAGTTAGATTTACTCGGTGGTGTTCGATCATTGTTGTTACGTCTCGTCAAGGAATAAGTATTGTTAACGGAGAAACAGCTAGCATTAGCTGAAGGAGTATATGCTTTCCATACCATAAACCACAATCAAAGTTTCATTTCAATTGATTGTATGTCGCAAATGATCAAAACATTGTACGGCAAAAAATTTGCACGTGCAAGGACAAAACCGAACCAGTTGTTTGTAATATTTTTTCACCATATTTGTTTTCACAATTGCAGAAAGAATTAGATTAAATTTACATTTATATCCATATGTTATGATGCTTCCAACCACAAAGATTTAAAAAATTGTTTCCCACAATTGTTAGACTTTTTGATCCAGAAACATGAATTAAAATCTGAATATTAGATTTTGTTTCTTTGCCGGGTGAAACTTCAGAAATAATTTTTGATTCAATAAGTACTATTTTTAAAAAAAGAATAATTTGAACAATAAAATTATTGCCCATTGTGAGGATAACACTAACGAAAATTTTCGTGGAAAAGCTAGAAGAGGCATCAATAACACTTTTACAAAACTTAAAGTTTGAACAAAAAAAAATTATTCGAGTAGGTTGTGCAGCGCACATTCGGCACAATACTATTCAAACAGCATCTGACTTACTCCCAGTGGATGTTGAAAATATTATTGAAAACTTTTATTCGTATTTTTATATATATACTGTACATGTTGAAAGTTTGAAGGATTTTTGTGAAAGTGCAAAAATCGAATATAAAAGAATTATTGGTTAGAGCAAAACATAATGGCTAGCTCTTTTACCAGCTGTAGAAAATATTTTTAAAATATACAAACCATTAGAATAATACTTTTTATCACAAGGTAAATGTCCAAGCTTTGCAGCTCTTATTTAAAAATGACACATCACAAATTTGGCTTCATTTCATCCACAACCAAGCTGCATTATTTCACAATGCTGTGAAAATTATTGAAAGGGACAAAATTTTAAA